AAAAACAACGGAGGTCCTCTCCGCGCGAAAAACAACAGAAAGCAACGGAGGTCCTCCCCGCGCGAAAGAAAAACGCCCTCTGGCGCAGGCCCACGGCATGATGTCGCGCGCGAGCCTCGCGTCCATATCGCGCCTCTACGGCGCGGCGCGGCGGCCCCTCCCGAAACTGCTCGCGACGTTCCGCGACCCGGCGGTCCAGCACTGCGCGCGGAACCGCGCGCGCCACGTCGCCGAGGACGAGCGCGGCGAGGCGTCGGCGTTCCGCGCGGCCTACGCGTCGTGCGCGGCCGCGCTCGCGGACGGCGCCTGGGCCGCGGCCGACGGCGCGTGCCGGCCGCCGTCGAAGGCCCACTTCCACAACTACTGCTACGCGGAGCACGTGGCCGAGTGGGCCGCGCGCGGCTTCGCCTACCGCCTCGTCAAGGCCGAGGAGCTCCGCGCCGAGGCGACGCGCGGCGCCGTCGTCCGCGGCGTCCTCGACTGGCTCGGCCTCGACGCGTCGGCGCTGCCCCCGGGCGCGCTCGACGACGTCTACAACGCCCACGGCGTCGACGAGCTCCCCGACGAGTTCGCCGCGTGCGTCGCGACGATGCGCCGCCCGCGGTCCTACCTCTCGGCGTGCAACGCGGCGCTCGCGGCCCGCGAGCGCGACGACCGCTGGCTCTGGTGGGCGCCGGCCGAGGACCCCGAGCCCGCGCCGCCGCCGCCCCACTACGAGGAGCTGTAAGCGCGAGCTTAGGCGTCTAGCTCCTCGAGGTAGCGCTTGGCGGCCTGATGGCCGTTGGCCGCCGCGCGCGCGTACCAGCGCTTCGCTTCGTCGAGGTCGCGTTCGACGCCCAATCCTAGCTTGTACCGATTTGCGACGGAGTACTCCGCGAGGGCGCCGTAACCTTGCGTCGCGCTGTCCATCATGTAATCAAAGGATAATTCGAGTAAATTCGTGCAGTATTCATGATCCCCTTCTTGAACGCGCCGGTTGACCGCAACCGGATCACCGCGCTCTTCGTCCGGGACGATGTCAACTGCTTCTGTTTCCAACATGAGTCCGTACTCGTACTGAGCCTTCGGATGAAGACCCACGTCCGCAGCGATTCGGAACAACGCCTTGGCCTTCTCGCGGTCGCCATAGATCTTGTCGTACATGCACGCGATTACCACCATATCCTCCGATTCCAAGCCAGTATTCGTGAAAACCTCGCTGGCTGTCATGGACTTGCAGTACCAGAGCTCGTGTAGATACCGCAGGTTCTCGACGGTCAGCGCGGTGCCCAACTCGAGCAAACGTTCCCTGGCCGCGATCGCGGCGGTGACGCGCTCGAGCGCCTCTTTCCGAGGGGGGGTACTTCGCTGCGCTGCCGCGATTGCATACCGGCGCTTCGCTTCATCGAGATCGCGGTTCACGCCCCATCCCTCCTCATACATGAAGCCAAGCTGGTACTCCGCATCAGCGAAGCCTTGCGACGCGCTGAGTGTAAAGAGTCGATGCGCTTCGCGAAACTCCGTACTGAGTGCAGAAGTGTCATCATCGATGAGGCTCTCGCCAAGCATGCACTGACCTCTTGCGTGGCCTCGGTCCGCGGCCATGCGATACAGTTGCATCGCCTTCTTCTTGTTTAGCTTGACGCCGTCTCCTCCTTCATGATACAAATCCCCAAGATCCACCATCGCCTCCAAGTTCCCGAGCTCCACGGCACGCTTCCAGATCTTCGCGGCCTTCTTCGGATTCTCCACGATCCCTAATGGCGGCGTGCCGAACGCGTAGTATCTCCCCAACGCGTGAATCGCCAACGGCACGTCGTTCTCCACGTGACGACGAAGCCGAACCATGTGCTCCGCCCAGTCCTCCGCGGCCGGCGTCCGACACAGAGCACACGGCTGGTCTCGACCGATCTTATCCTCGCATAGTTTGCAGACCAATCGACAACAACAGACGCGCAGAAGCGGAAACACGTTCACGTCGAAGTCTTCGAAGCAAATCGGGCATCGCGCCGACGTCGGCTCCGGCTCCGGGTTCGCCTCGCGCCGCGCGCGGGCCGCCTCGTGCTCCGCGGCGATGCGCGCGCGGGCCTCGTCGGCGTGGGACCGCGGCGCGGGGCCGTAGACGAGCTCGCGCGGCGGCGACGGCGGGCGCGTCGGGGCGGCGCGCTCGTTTCGGATCTTCTTGCACGCCGCGCGGTGGCCCCGGTCGCGCCAGTCGATTCTTTGGCACTCGGTCGAACAGTACTGCGTGGTGCCACAGGGGCAATTAAGCTTCGCCTTCTCGCCGCAGATGGTGCAGGTCAGGCGCATGCGCAGGGCTTTGGCCCGGGCCTTCTTCGCTTCATATTCGCGCCGCTTCTTCTCCCAGTCCTTCTCCCCAGGCGGCGCGTCCATCGCTCGCAATATTCACTCGTCGCCTCGTCGCCTCTGCCCCGTCGCACGGTCGCACGCACTGCCTAGTCGCGATCGAGTCTTTTTCACCACTCGGTCGATCGCCCAAGGACGCCTCAAGGGGCGACTGACGCATCTTCGACGCCCACAACTCTCGAGAGCACAGACAACTTACGACACCCCAGGCAGCTCCTTCGCGACGACCGAGACCCCAACGACGAGGACGAGGACCGCGAAGAGCCGCTTCGTGAGCCGCGCGTCGACGGCCGCCGAAGCCCGCGCGCCGAGCGCCGCGCCGGCCGCGACGGCGCACGCCACGGGGGCGACGACGTCCCAGTGCACCGCGACGTCGCCGCCGGCCCAGTAGGTCGCGAAGCCCGCCGCGGCGTTCAGGCAGACCACGAGCAGCGCCGACGACACGGCCTCGTCGACGGGCACGCCGGAGAGCGCGAGCGCGGGCACGACGACGAAGCCGCCGCCGGCGCCGATGAGCGCCGTGAAGGCGCCCACGGCCGCCGCGCGCGCGGCCGCCGCCGCCGTGAACGACCTCCGCTCGGCCGCCGGCGCCGCGGCGCCCGGCGCCGCGGACGCCCACATCGACGCCGACGACGCGAGCGCGAAGGCCACGAAGAGCCCCAGCCTCACCTCCGCGGGCACGACGCCCGCGACGAAGCGCGCCGTCGCCGCCGCGGACGCGACGGCGATCGCCGCGAAGGGCGCGACGACCTCGGCGTCGACGCGCCGCGCGCCGCGAGGCCGACGCCGGCGCCGAGGCTCACGACGACGAGCGACTCGGCGATGGCCGACGTCGGTGGCTCGCCGAAGGCGTATAGAAAGGCCGGCAGCGCCAGCACGGACCCGCCGCCGCCGAGGAGGCCGAGCACGCCGCCGATGCCGACGCCGAGCGCCGCGCCCGCGGGGCTCGCCGGCGCGACGGCCGCGACGAGGCTCGCCGGCAGGGCGCGGTGGGCGAGGACGTTGCTGCGGCCGCTGCGGCTGTTGCGCGCGGTCGCTGCCGAGCTGCCCGGGAGCATGCGGCGTGTTGTGGCTGCTGCCCAGCGGCTTGGGAGCAAACTGCGAGTCGTGGCCGCGTCAAACGCTGCGCTCCGCGCGGTTCGCGGCTGCGGCGACATGAATGCGACTGCGTGCGTGCATTGAAAGGCTGCGACGATGGCCAGCATCGCGCATTTGCGCCGCTGCATCGTGCTTGCTTGCCCTCCCATGCCTTGATGGTGCCGCTCGATCTCCTCGTTGCCACAGCCCGTGCTCACCACCGCCGCCGCCGCAAAGCATGTTCAAGCTCCTCGCCCTCGTCGCCACCGCCTCGGCCTTCGTCGCGCCGCAAACGGCCGTGCGCGGCGTCGCATCCAAGCTGCACGTCGACATCCCGCGCATCTCGCTGCCGGACCAAGTCGCCGACGTCCTGAAGGACCAGGGCTTGAAGTCGCCCAACGACCTCTCCGTCGAAGAGCGCGCGCCCGCGTCCGCGCGTCGCATCGCATCGCGTCGCCGCAACGACGCGCCGCGCGCGCCGCCGCCGCAACGACGCGCCGCGCGCGCCGCCGCCGCAACGCGCGCCGCCGCGACGCACCGCCGCGCGACTTCACGCGAAAACCACGACAGGTACAACTCGTACAGCGGCGCGGCCATCGGCGGCACGCTGCTGCTGCTCGTGCCCATCGCGTACCTCGACGAGCTGCTCTTCGCCATCGTCAAGGACTTCGCCATCGCCGCGATCCTCGGCGGCGGCGCCGGCGCCTACCTGAGCCTGCGCTCCGACAGCGCTGGCGAGGCCGCGAACAAGTTCGGCGCGGGGCTCCTCGGGCTTGTGGACAAGGTCCTCGACTAGCGCGCGGCCTCGCCCGCGGGGGTAAAAAAGCGCGCCTACGCGAGAGTCTGAGCGGCTCGGCGGCGAGCCAAAGAACGCTCCTCGCCAAAAAAAGAAAACGCTAAACTCAGGTTACGGGCGCGCGCTGCAAAAGCGGGGTCAGCCGAGGAAGGAGGGGACGAACTCCGCGGCGTCGATTTTGAAGTTCGTCGGCTTGGGCGTCCGCGCGCGCGCGAAGCCCGGCGTGCCGTCCGGGCCTGGGCAGCAAAAGGGTGATTCAACGTCGCGTCAACGTGAGTGTTCCGCGCGCGCGCGTTCCGGGAAAAGCATCTACGCTTCGAGACCGTTCCGAGAGATGATCGCTCGTCCAAAAATCAGCCGAAACGAGTGGAAAACGGCCGAGATATGAGCCTTTGAAGTCGGGAATTTCGCTCTCTTTTGCTGCCCTGGTCCGGGCCCTTGGCGATCTTCGACGGCCCGTAGGTCGGTGGCTCGTCGTCGCCGACCTTGGTTTTCGGCTTGAGGTTCAGGCTCCGCCGGCCGTAGCCCAGGAGCCGGTCCGGCCGCGCGCCCGGGTCCGCCGGTTCCTCTCCGTCCTTCGGCGGCGCGCGGCTCTCGACGTCGAGCGCCAAGGCCTCGAGCGCGGACACGGGCTCGGCCGGCGCCGGCGGCGGCGACGGCGCGCGCGCCTCCTCGTCGTCCCTGGCCTTCTTCTTCTTTTTCGGCGGCCGCGGCGCGCGGCGGACGTCGCGCGCCTTGGGCTTCTCCGCCGCCTCCGGCGCGTACTCGAGGTAGTCGCCGATCTTCAGCTTCGTGGCCAGGTTCTTCGGCGTCAGCTCGGAAAGCGCGAAGAAGGCGTTGTCCTCCTTCTTCGTGCCGTCGTTGGGGCGGATGAAGCCGTACTTGCCCTCCTTGAAGTAGACCAACTTGCCGCGCGCGCGGCCCTCGGGGATCGGCGGCTCCGCGTCGCGCAGCGCCTGCTCCTCGGCCCGGCGCTTCTCCTCGGCCTCCTTCTTCTTCTGCGCGGCGATTGCCGCGGGCGACGGCGCGGGCTTGCGGTCGCCCTCCGCGGGCCTCGGCGGCTCTTTCCGCAAAACCGGCAGCTTCGCGTCGCGCCGCGCGGCGTCCGACGACTTGCCCGAGGCGAGCGCCACGCTCAAACCGAAGCGCCAGTTGTCGGCGTCGTTGAGCTCCTCGACGGCGCGGATGGCGCCGAGCTCCTCGGCGAAGCGGATCGCCGCCGTCGGCTTGCCCCGCTCGTCCTCGGCCAGCGAGACGTCCTCGACGGCGCCCACGGCGGCAAAAGTCTTCTCCAGGCTCGCGGCGTCGGCGCCGCGCTTCACGTTGCGGACTTCGACCGTGCGCGTCGCGGCGCCGTCGCGCTCCGCGGCCGCGTCGACGAGCGCGACGATGTCCTCGGGCAGCGGGCACACGCGGCAGAGCCGCGGCGCCGCGCCCTCGTCGCCCTCCTCGACGGCGACGATGGTCGTGCCCGGCGCCTCGTCGAGCGCCTCGCGCACGAGGGCGAAGGCGTCGCACCCCGCCAGCAGCTTGCGCATTTTCTTGAAGTCGCAGACGACGTCGAGGCCGACGCTGAGGCCGTCCGGCGACGCCCGCAGCTCGCGCAGCACGAAGGCGTCGCCCTTGAGCAGGTTCTCGTCGCTCAGGTAGTAGCTCACCTGGCGCCGGATCGACGCCAGGTGCCGCGACCGCTTCTTCGCCTCCCTGCCCGGCGACGCGTCGCCGGAGTCGTCGCCGGGGCTGTCGCCGGGGGGCGGCGACGCCTCGGCCCGGGCCGCCTCCTCGGCGAGGTACTTCTCGACCTGCTCCGCCGCCGTCGTCGTCGTCGCCATTCCTGCAGCGCGGCGGCTGCCCGAGGTCTGTCTATAATCGATACGCAGCGTCCGCAGTCGTCGAGCGAGCTGTGCGGCTCAGGTGCAGCTGTGCGGCATCGCTGGATGCTCGATCGACCTCTCAAGAGGTCTTGCCACAGCATCTTGCCACAGCCTCCGCGTCGGGCCGCGCCTTCCGCGGCTCGTAAAGCGGCGGCCGCGCCGCGCGCCGACGCCATCCGGTGCTCCGCGAGGCGCACCGACGCTCCGGTACGCGCGCCGGCGCCGTTCGGCGCGCGCGAGCGCCCTACATGTGGTGGCTGCGCTTCATAACGACCTATCTCATGCTCCTGCGCGCCGCGCGCGGCCTCGCCGTGCGGGGCGCGCGCGCGCCGCTCCTAGCGCCGCTCCCGCGGCGCTTCGCGTCGCCGCGCGCGTCGACGATCCTCTTCTCGCGCGCCGCCGAGGCCGCGGCGGCCGCCGCCGCGAGCGTCGTCGAAGTTGAGGAAGGAGCCTCGCGCCGGAGCCTGCCGTCGAAGCTGAGGAAGGAGGTCGCGTTCCGCCAGAAGTACGAGTGCGCCGCCTGCGGCTGCCTCCTGCCGCCGGACCACGAGGTCGACCACGTCGTGCCCGTGGCGCTGAACGGGTCCGACAGTCTAGAAAATTTGCAGGCGCTGTGCCGGCCGTGCCACCTGCAGAAGACGCGCGACCAGCGCCACGCGATCCTCGACGCGAAGCGCATGCCCGGCGCCGCCGCCGCGCCGCGACCGGCGCCGCCGCGCGCGCCGCCCGTGACGCTCAACGCGCAGCAGGCCGCCGCGGTGGACTGCGGCTTCGGCCCCGTCCGCGTCGTCGCCGGGCCCGGCACCGGAAAGACGCGCGTGCTCACGCGGCGCGTCGCGCACCTCGTGGCGTCCCTGGGCGAGGACGCGGGCTCGGTCCTGGCGCTGACCTTCACGAACCGCGCGGCCAACGAGCTGCGGGAGCGCATCGCGGAGGAGGTCGGCCCCGCCGCGGGCGGCGGCATCTCCGTCGGCACGTTCCACCGCGTCTGCCTCACGGTATTGCGGGAAGACGTCGAGGACGTGCCCGGCAGCGCCATCCGCCGGGGCTTCGCCGTCTACGACCAGGCGGCGATGATCAAGCTCTGCGGCCAGTGCGTGTCCGAGAAGCCGCCCGTCGGCCTCGGCTGGGACAAGGGCAAGGTCAAGCCCGCCGCCGTCCAGAGCCGCATCTCCGCGGCGAAGAACGCGGGGCTCGACGCGGCCCGCTACGGCGAGCTGGCGCGGTCGGGCCACGCGGGCTGCGACGGCGTCACGGCCCGGGTCTTCGCGCTCTACGAGGCCGAGCTCGAGCGGCGGAACGCCGTCGACTTCGACGACATGCTGGGCCTGACCGCGCGGCTGCTCCAGGGGTCCGACGCGGCGCGCGCCAAGTACCGGAACCGGTGGAAGCACCTGTTGGTCGACGAGTTCCAGGACACGAACGGCGTCCAGTACGAGGTGCTCCGGCTGCTCGCGGCGGCCGACGAGGAAAAGAGCTCCGTCTTCGTCGTCGGCGACAGCGACCAGGCCATCTACGGCTGGCGCGGCGCGGACTACGAGAACCAGGCGAAATACGACCGCGACTTCGCCGCCGACCGCTACAAGCTCGAGAAGAACTACCGGTCCGTCCAGCCCATCCTCTCCGCGGCGACGGCCCTGGTCTCCGCGACGACGCGGAACCGCGACGCCATCGAGCTCGAGGGCCGCGCCGACGCGAAGGCGCTGCCGCCGGCCGTCGTCTCGCTCGACGACCAGGACGCGGAGGCGCGGTGGATCGCGGATGTGTGCGCGCGGGCGACTGTATCGCGCAAGAAGCCCAAGACCGTCGCCGTGCTCTATCGAACGAACGCGCAGTCGCGGGGCGTCGAGCGCGAGCTCGTCCGCGCGGGCGTGCCGCACCAGCTGCTCCACGCGCGGGGCTTCTTCGACCGGCGCGAGATCCGGGACTGCCTCGCGTACCTCAAGTTGTTGGCCCACGACGACGACGGCGCCTTCGAGCGCGTCGTCAACGTGCCCCCGGGGCGCGCCGTCGGCGCCAAAAGCCTCGAGAAGCTCCGGGCCGAGGCGCGCGCCCGGAACTCGACGCTGCTCGGCGCGTGCCGAAACGCGACGACCGTGTCGACGCGCGCGGCCAAGGGGCTGGTCGCCTTCGCGGACCTCGTGGACCGGCTGAACGCGACGCGGGCCGAGGACTGCTCCGCGTCCGGAGCGGCGGACGACGCGGCGGGCCCCGCGCGCGGGTCCATGCCCTGGTTCCTCCTGGAGGTGTTGCGCGAGACGGGCTACGAGGACTGGGTCCGCCACGAGTCGACGGACGGCGCCGAGCGCTGGCGGAATTTGCGGGAACTGGCGAACCTCGCCGCTCCCTACGACGCGACCCAGCTCGTCGACTTCCTCGACCAGGTCGCGCTCGTCCAGGACCAGGACGGTTTGGACGCCGACGACGAGGCGCGGACCAACGTCAAGCTCATGACGATCCACGCGTCCAAGGGCCTCGAGTTCGACGTCGTCGTCGTCGCCGGCTGCGAGGAGGGCCTCATCCCCCACTACTACGCGACGGCGGAGAAGAGCGGCGCGGACCTCGCGGCGGCGCTCGACGAGGAGAGGCGGTTGCTCTACGTGGCCATGACGCGCGCGAAGGAGGCCCTCGTGCTCACGAAGGCGGCGACGCGCCTGACCTGGGGCGTGAAACGCGACGCGGACCCGAGCCGCTTCCTCGACGAGATCCCCGACGGCCGGAAGCGGCTCCTGGACGTCCGCGGCGACCGCAAGAAGAAGACGACGCCGTCGTCGCATAGATACCTGTAAGCTTTCGAGCCTCGGCGCGCGCGGCATGGCGAGGTCTACGCGTGCGAGGCTTACTACCGCCACACCGCGCCCTCGAGGGGGAACTTGTCCACGGCGCCGCAGGGGCACGGCTCCTGGACGCCCGCGAACTGGCGCAACAGCGACTCGGCGAGCTCGACGGTGCCCTCGCCGAGGGACCCGAGGCCCAGCGCGTCCTCGGCGGGCCAGCGGCGGTCGGCGCCGCTCCGGAACCGGAGCAGCTCCAGCAGCGTCGCTCCGTCGTCGTCGCGCGGCCCCCGGAGGTCGTGGCCCGCGGGGAAGGGGTTCGGCCCGAGGCGCGCCAGCGCGACGGCGTAGGACGCCGGGTCCTCGGCCTGCGCCTCCGTGAACGTGTGCGCGGCGATCGCGTCGACCAGCGTCGGAGAAGGTCGCGCGCCCGTCCGTAAAACCAGCAGCCCCAGGGTCCGCAGGCCGACGCCGAAGCCGTCCGTCGGCGTGCCGTCCTCGAGGTCCGGCGGCGCGATGCGCAGGAGCGGCAGGAAGACGCGGTCCGCGAGCGCCTCGACGCGGTCCGCCGTCCACGCGGGCGCCACGGCCGGCAGGCCCGCGCCTCCGAGGCACCGGTCGACCTCCCCGTAGAGCGCCGCGATCTGCAGCTCCAGCGACTTGCCCGCGGACGGCACGAAGGTCGCGTGCGGCGCGCAGGTGTCCTTGTGCGCCCTCCAGTGCTCCCTTTGGCACCCGGGACTGCAGTAGTTGACGGCCTTGCAGCGGCCGCAGCGCCGCGTCGCGCCGGGCTGCGCGCAGAAGGCGCAGGTCGGGCCCTTGCGCGGCGTCACGGTCCGGGCGCGCTTGTCGTCCGTCGCCGCGGCGGCGGGGAACGTCTCGACGACGTCCATCTCCGCGTCCTCCCGCGAGGCCGCGTAGCGCTCCACGAGCGCCTCCATGGCCTGGCGCTTCTGGCTCGTCGTGGCCATGGGGTTCTTTGGGTTGTTGTCGTGTCGCGCTGTAAGTGCTCGCACCAAAAGCTGATCGACGACGGCGTCGCGAGCGCGCGCAAACTCGCTCTCTCCAAAACTTAGAGGCTGCTGCACTGTTGGTTCAAGGAGAGGGTCCGAGGCGAAGTTGCACCTATAGGAATGCCTGCGAGATGAGCAGCGTTATCAGCTGGAATGCCTGCGAGATGGGCAGCGTTATCAGCTGGAATGCCCGCCACTGGCGTCCGGAGGAAGTGATGGGCAGCGTTCTCCGTGCGCGCCGCTGACCGCCGCGACCATGCTCCGCTGGTACAACGTGCGGCCGGCCCTGAGCCTCTTCGCCTGCGTGCTGCCGACGCTCTACCTCTGGACCCTGCCGCTCCTGGCCAGGGCCGGCTTCGCCGTGCGCGGGCCGGACCCGACGGGCGTCGGCAAGTCCGTGAGCCACTACATCTCGAGCGCGCCCGCGACGGGCCTCCTCGCGGCGTCGTTCCAGTGGCCCATCATGCACCTCTGGGAGCGGCACGGCATCGCGTACCTCGAGCGGCACTGCGCCTCCGGCGGCGACGCGACGGCGGAGAAGCTCGCCGTGCGGTCCTTCGCGAGTCTGGTGGCCATGCTCGTGGGCTTCGGCGGCTTCGTGACCTTCACGGTGACGTGGCAGGAGAAGCTCCACAACTGCTTCGTGTGCCTCATGTGCGTGGGCGGCCTCTACCACTTCCGGTGCCTGCTGCGCCTCGGCGAGGACCGCGGCGGCTTCGGCGGCGCCGTCTACGTGCCGCTCTTCGCGGGCTTCTTCGGCTTCGGGGCCGTGCTCGCGATGGTCGCGGGCAAACACGTCGCGGGCGTGAATTGGGGCTACGCGTTCTGGGCCGCGGAGAGCCTCGGCCTCACGGGCATCATCTGGTGCACGGCCTGCGACGACTACGGCAAGCCCGTCATGCGCCGCCTCTCGACGAAGCGGACGCCCGCGGTCGTCGCCGTGACGCCCTCCGGCGACGCGGCGCCCGGCGACCCGCGGAGCCCCGTCTAACCGCCCGGCCTCCGAGTCTCGGAGCTTAGCCACGCGCGCCGGCGGCTCACGTCTTGAGGTGGACGCCGTTGTCCACGGGGAGGCTCACGCCCGTGACCGCGCGGCCCGCGGGCGAGCAGAGGAACGCGACGCCGTCGCCGACGGCGCGCGGCGCCATGGAGCCCATGGGCGCGATGCGCCCGGCGATGCCGCCGACCATCTCGTCGACGTCCGCGCCGCGCGCGTCCGCGAGCTTGCCCCACGCGTCCGACGTCGTCACGCCGGGGATGACGACGTTGCAGTTGACGTTCTTCTTCGCGGCGCGGAGCGCGAAGAGGCGCATGGCGTACTCCATGACGCACTTGCCCGACCCGGGCATGTCGTAGCCGAGGTTCGCCTTGTAGGTCAGCGTGCAGCCGGGCGACGAGATGCCGACGAGCGACCCGCCGCCCTCGCCCATGCGCGCGAGGCCCCGCTCGCAGAGGTCGACGTAGGCGTCGCCGTACCTGTGGGGAAATCAACCAGTGAGCTGGGACGTCGGGGCCAAACTTCAGAATTCTCTAGCTCGGTCAAATCGAAGTCGATTCGGCTGATTTTTGGACGAATCGATTGCTCTCGCGAGTTCTCGAAGCACAGCGAAAGACTCTGGTCCAAACCGTTCGAATACGCGCACATTGAAGTCGTGTTGAAGATTTGATTTGCACACAGCGCCGTACATGCGCTGGTAGTAGTGCATGACGCCCAGGTCCGGCGCGCCGTCGTCGCCGAGCAGCGAGCCGTCGCCGAAGCCGAGCTGGGGCGACGGCCCGATGCCGTCGGCGTTGGACGACGTGACGCCGACGTACTGGCCCGCGTTGTGGACGACGGCGCCGAGCGCGTGCGTCGCTTTGAAGGCCTCGTCGAACTTGGCGAAGATCGCGTCGCGCGTCGCGGGCTGGCTGACGTCGCCGCCGACGCACTCGACGGCGCAGCCGTAGGCCTCCGTGATTTCCGCCGCCGTCGCCGCCGCCGCGTCGGCGTCGCTGTTGTAGGTCAGGAGCAGGTCGAAGCTCTGCGACGCGAGCGCCTCGGCGATGCCCTTGCCGATGCCGCGCGTGCCGCCCGTGACGATGGCCACGTGCTTGTTGAGGGCGAACGACGCGGGCGCCAGGAGGAGGAGGAGCAGCGACGCGTGCATGGCTGCGTTGCGCGCGACGACGAGGCGGTGTCAGTGGCGGCGCTCTCGATGGCGGAGGCGCTCTCCGAGATTCTGTGTCAAAGGAGCTGGCTCGTTGCCCCGCCTTTGCATGCGACCGATTTCAAAACCTCAGCCGTCGTCGGGTGCTGCGCGACGAGCGGCTCGCGTTTCGAAGCCCGACGCGCTCCGTCGGCTCCTGGGACGCCGGCGTCGGCCGCCGCCCAGCTCGGCGCCACAAACCCAGGCGCGGAACGCCGCGCGTTTTCAAAAACCACTACAACTTTGAACCAACACACACATGAGCTACAACCGCGAGCGGCGCGTCGCCGGCGTCAGCGTCGAGCTGCCGCGCCTGACGCGCGTCGTGCCCGTGGCGCACGGGTCCTACGCCGGCAGCACGCTGACCTTCTCCGACGACCGGCAGGACTACGAGCTGTCGAAGCTCGAGGCCGTCCCAGGGATCCGCGAGACGAACCCGCTCCTGGGCGCGAAGATCGCGCTGCCGCCCCGGGGCGACTGGGCCTGGGACGGCGACCAGCTGCTCTGGGTCGCGGCGTCGACGGCGGAGGCCAAGGGGTCGCCCGCGGCGGCGGCGGACGGCGGCGGGCCCGCGGGCTTCGGCGGCATGCGGCGCCGGGGCCTGCCCGGCGCGCACCCGGAGCGCGTCGGCGCGCGCGTCATGGCCTGGACCTGGGACAATCCGGGGGCGGCGGGCGCCGCGCGCGGGACCGTGGCGGCGCACGTCGTCGGCCACCGCGACGACCTCGGGGGCCGGGGCGAGTGGACCGCGGCCGTGGCGGGCGCCGACGGGTCGACCTACGACGTGCGGCTCCACGCCCCGGAGCTGCGCGCGGCGCTCGACCTGCGCCACGAGCTCGACTGCTCGGGCGAGCCGCCGCCGCTCGGCGCCGAGTTGGAAGCCCAGGGGTGGACGGCGAAGAAGTCGAGGTCCACGGGCGACTGGTACTACGTCTGGCAGGGCCCCGGCGGCGCGGCGACGTCCCAGTGGGAGCGGCCCGGCTGCGCCTGGCCCGGCGCGGCCGCGTGCAACTGCGAGGGCCACCGGCCCGCGCCGCACGTCGACTCGCACGTCGACCGCATGGAGCGCAAGGCGGGCCTCGTCGCGAGCTGCCTCGCCAAGTTCGCCGAGTACGAGCGGTCCGACGCGAAGCAGACCTACTACGAGTGGTGCCGCGCGCGGTGCGAGGCCTACTACGAGCCGCCGTCGTACCTCCGCGACCGGCCGGAGGCCGACGCGGAGCGCCGCGCGTCCGTGGCCTCCCACGTCGACACCATGTTCGGCCTCATGCGCGAGTACGACCACGTCGCCTCCGACTCGGAGTTCAGCGACGAGTCCGAGTCCGACGACGACGACTTCTACGAGGACCTGCCCCCCGAGGAGTCCGCGCGGAAGCGGAAGCGGCGGAAGACGGAGAAGCTCGTGCGCATGGGCATCGAGGCCTTCATCGACTCGCCGGGCGTCGCGAGCCGCATCCTCCACGGCGACGGCTTCAACCGCACGCGGAGCGGCCAGGTCTTCGGCGGCGCGCGGAACGAGGACGACGTCCGCAAGAAGATCAACTTCGACTGACACCGCGGGAGGGCGCCGCCCCGGCCATGACACCGCCGGCCCGGGGCCCCGCCGCGCGGTCGCCTAACGCTCGGAGGAGGAGGAGTCACGTGAGTAGCCTGGCGTGCAAGCGCAGCGCAGCGACGCTTTGCTTGTCGCCACTTAGGGCCGTTGGGGGGATTTCGATCTTTCGCGCTTCTGGCTGCGTATCTTCCCCCTGCCGCCGCATTTTAGCGTGCGATAGCCGCGCTGCTACAGGCGGCGGCTCTCGGCCTTAAGGGCCGGGGCCGCGCGGCGCGCCCGCGCCTCGGGAAAGGTTGCAGTCTCGAAGTCGGGGCGCGATTTAACATCCCGAAGGTGTGGTCCCGGGGCAGCGTCCGCGGACCGCGCCATGGGCTTCTTCACCAAGGCAAAGGCCACCAAGCACGAACGCCTATCCGATGCGAACGTCAAGAAGCTCTTCGACCAGTACGACGTCGACCACAGCGGCACGCTGGACCACGAGGAGATGGTCGCGGCCCTGGCGTCGCTCCACCTGCCCAAGTACCTCGCGGAGCGCGCCTGGCACCTCTGCGACCGGGACCACTCCGGGTCCGTGTCCCTCGCCCAGTTCACGGACTTCATCCACCACCAGGAGGAGCAGATCGAGGTCGTCTTCGACGAGATCGACGTCGACGGGTCGGGCGCGGCGTCCCGCGGCCGCGACGATTTTCGAGAGATTCGGGGTGGGAACACGATGAGCCATCGTCACCGTCATGCTCCGTAGGTCGGGCATGCTGTCCCGCCAGGAGCTCGACACCTGGCTCCACGCGCACCACGTCCGCGCGACGCCCGAGGACGAGGCGCACCTCGAGGAGCTCTTCCACCCGGGCAAGAACGCGACGGGCGAGATCTCCTACGACGAGTTCCGCCACGCGTTGCTCTTCCTGAACCCGACGGACTTCGCGTTGTTCGCCGACGACTGGATGCACTACGCGTCCGCGGACGATCTGGGCACGTCCCACGCGTCGACGCACCCGACGACCAAGGCGACGACGAAGGGCCCGCCGACGTGGCTCAACGGCCTCGCGGGCGCCATCTCCGCGGCGATCTCGCGCACGGCCGTCGCGCCGCTCGAGCGGCTCCGCTTCCAGATGATCACGGACGGCGCCAAGTACGGCGGGTCGTCCCTCGCCTGCCTCCGGGGCATCGCCGCGGAGGAGGGCGTCAAGGCGTTCTGGCGCGGCAACGGCGTCAACATGATCCGCATCTTCCCGCAGAACGGCCTCATGTTCTTCGCGAAGCCGGCCATCGGCAAGAAGATGAAGGCCTTCGTGCCCGACCCCTTCTACGGGTCCATGCTCTCCGGCATGGCCGCGGGCTGCGTGTCCGCGTCGGCCATCTACCCGCTCGACGTCGTCCGCCTCCGCATGACGACGACGCCGGGCCTCTACAAGGGCGTGATCGACGGCTTCAAGACCATCGCGGCCAAGGAGGGGCCCGCGGCCCTCTTCCGGGGCATCGCCTACGCGAACCTGTGGGCCGTCCCCTACACGGGCGCGCTCTTCGCGACGGCGGACTTCCTCAAGGCGCAGTACTCGAAGCGCACGGGCTCGAAGCCGACGGCCCTCGTCGGCGTCGCCGTCGGCGCCGTCGCGGGCGCCGTCAGCACGACCGTGGGCTTCCCGCTCGAGTCCGCGCGGCGCAAGATGCAGGCGCAGGGCACGGGCGGGAGGCCCGTGCTCTACAGCTCCATCTGGGGCTGCATCGCGGGCACCGTCAAGACCGGCGGCATCGGCGCGCTCTACACGGGCTGCGCGGCCAACGTCGTCAAGATGGCGCCGGCCCAGGCGATCACGTTCGGCTGCATGACCGTCATCGTCCCCGCGCTCACGGACGCGCTCGTCTAGGAGCGCGGCGCGCGCCGCGGTCGCTCGGCCTTCCCCCCCCCTGTCCCTAGTTACAGCGCGATGTCCTCGAGCGCGCCGCCGCCGGGGCTCGCGCGTTTCAGGCGCGCGTGGAGCCGGTCGAGGTCGGCGACGGCCGTCCAGTCCGGGCCGACGCGCGCGTTGTAGGCGAGCGTCGCGCCGCCGACGTCCTTCCGCGCCCAGGCCGCCGCGAGCGCCGCGAGGTCCGCGGGGCCCGTCTGGGTCCCGTCGGCGGCGATCCAGTGCCAGCCGCTTTCGGGCAGCGCGGCCTGCGCCGCGGAGACGAGCGCGCCCGCCTTGGACGGCGACGACCGGCTGTAGGACGGCTGGCGCGCGAAGTCGTCGTCGTCGTCGTCCGCGTCCGCGGCCGCGAGGAGCGCGCTCTGGGGCTTCTCCGCGCGGCTCGGCGACGTCGGCGCCGCGGATTTGGGCACGAGCGTCGGCAGGCGGAGCTCGAGCTCGTCGACGTCGACGTCGGCCTTGGGCGACGACGAGGACGACGCGCCGACGCACGACGAGGCGGCGCCGGACGCGTACGCCGCGCCGGGCCGGCCCGCCATCTCCAGCGCCGCGGCCTCCTCCTCGGGCATGTGGTGCGCGTGGGCGCCCCGGGGCCGCTCGCGCCGCACGGTCGTCTCGCCGAGGTTCTTGGCGTTCTCGTAGGCGTTGTAGACGAAGGCGCCGACGCCGACGCAGATGAGGATGATCACGCCGGCGACGACGGCGAGGATCATGCCCAGGGAGAAGAAGCCGTCGGACGAGCTCTTCTTCGAGGACGACGAGTCGCCGGCGTCGGCGCCCGAGTGCCACCAGTCGCGCTGGATGTCGTAGGCGTCGACGACGTCCGACGCGTTGACGGTGATCAAGTCTCCGACCGCGGCGTTGTCGTCTACCTGTGGGGGGCGCAAAATACGCGCGACGGGGGGTCGGGACTATCAACGCCGAAGAGGTACCGCGCCCGTGTCGAAGCTCGCGGACCCCGTCATGTCGTCGTCGCAGCCGATGGTGTAGATGACCGTCTCGTCGGGCGGATCGGACGACCCGTCGCCCTCGTTCATGACGAGGACGCAGCCCGCCTCGGATAGTGTAAACGTTTCCGCGGCGCACGTGGACGGGCACGCGTCGCAGGAGTACTGCTCGAGGGCCGGGTCGTTGCCCTTGGACGCGCTGTCGAGCATGATGCAGGACGTCAGGGGCAGGACCTTGACGTTCGTGCAGGAGCCGCCGCTGAGGAGGAAGCTGAAGCTCAGCTCCGCGCCCGCCGCGACGTAGAGCACGAGGTAGGCGTCGGCGGGCAGCGTCTCCGTTTTGGTCGTCGCGCAACTCATCTGCCCGGCCAACGTCCAGTCGCCGTAGAGCTGGGCCGAAGCGCAGCTCGCCGTGAGCAGGAAGAGCCGCCGCATGTTCATGAGGGCGAAGGCGGTTTCAAGAAAACATGCTTTATTGTAGGGAACTTGCTGCTGGGTTGCACCGCTCTCTCAGCTGGCTCTGTCCGTCGTCTGAGGTGCGCGACGGGAGCTCCAGGCACCGCCGGCTCGGGCGCGCACGGCGGAAAATGCGGCGGAAACTGCAGCCGAGCCGGCGCACTACTGCGCCGGCTCCCGTGGCCGCCGACGCCCCCTACGGCGGCGACCTCATGGCCGCGATGAAGGCCCAGGACCGCGACGCCGTGCGCGTGCTCATGGGCCGGCGCGACGCGCCGACCCACGAGCCCGACGACGACGACGCGCCCCTCGGCGTCGAGGCCTTTGAGTGCGCCATCTGCAAGGAGCTGCTCCACAAGCCCGTCGTCAACAAGTGCGGCCACGCGGCGTGCTTCTGGTGCACGCACAAGGCCATGGACCCGCTAAGCCCGTCGGCCTGCCCGCTCTGCCGCGCGCCCTTCGAGCATTTCTCCAGCGTCTGCGAGGACCTGGAGAACCACATCCGCCGGAAGTTTCCCGAGGCCGCCGCGGCGCGCGCCCGCGACGTCGTCGCGCGCGAGGAGGCCTTCGCGCGGTCGCCGGAGGTGAGGCTCTCGATCGACGACCTCTTCATGTGCCGGCGCTGCCGCGCTCCGAAAGCGACGTACGTCACGAACTGCGGCCACATGCTCTGCGGCGGCTGCGCGGCCGGGGACTGCCCCTGCGGCGCGCGGCGCATCTTCGCGCCGGACGCGCCCTGCCAGCTCGCCTGCCGCATCGCCGGAGTATCGCCGGCGGCGCGCGCCGACGCGCCCGCGGCGGAGGAGCCGCGGCCGCCCGCGGCGAAGGACGAGCCCGCGCCGCCGTCCGCGCCGCCGCCCGCGCCGCCGCCCGCGCCGCCCGCGCCGTTGTACACGCACTTCGGCGTCGGCTGCGACGGCTGCGGCGTCTACCCGATCCGGGGCCGGGCCCTGCGCTGCGCCGACTGCCCGGAGGCCATCGGCTACGACCTCTGCGGCGCGTGCCACGACGCGCCGGGCTCGCACCCGGGCCGCTTCGCGCAGGCGCACCGGCCCGAGCACCGCATGGAGGACCGGGACGAGCCGGAGACGTGGCTCCACGCGCTCCAGCGCGCGAACCCGACGCTCGCCGTCGGCGAGATCCTGCGGCTGGCCCAGCTCTCGGTCGACGTCGCGCCGCCGGACCCCCCGGCGTGAGCACCGCGATTTCTCTTAGGACGTCTCCATGGCCGCGCCGTTGCCGGACTTGGCCTCGTCGAGGAGGTGGTAGAGGTCCTCGCGCTCCTGCTCGAGGTTGTCGTTCCACTCCTTGGCCTCGCGGAGCTGCTGGGCGAGGCTCGCGTTGTCCGCCTTGAGCTGGTCCCGCGCGAGCTCCGACGCCGCGAGGGCGGCCCGGAGCTCGTCGACCGTGGGGTCCGCCTCCGCCGGCGGCGGCGGCGCGCCGCCGCCGCCGCCCGCGGCCAGGAGCTCCATCTCGAGGCCGACTGCCGGGTCGAGGTGCGACGCGCGCAGGTAGGCGTGCGCCTTGTCGCGGAGCCGGAGCGCGTCGTGGACGTAGGCCCGCAGGTCCCGCACCTGCTTCTCCTTCTCGGCCAGACGGTTCACCAGGCTCGACTCGCGGCGGCCGCTCGACGACACCTTGAGCAGCGCGCGGCTCAGGTCGCCCTCGACGGCGTTCGCGCGCTCGAGCGCCTTCCGCAGGTCCTCCGCGTCCCGGGCCGTCTCGCTCGCGGGCTTGGGGAAGGACGGCGCCTCCATGAGCGGCTCCCGCGGCGCCTCGGACTCCTGGGCCGCGAGGCGCGCCTGCTCGAGGGCGTCGCGGATGTGCGGCGCGATGGCGACGCCCGACGCGCCCATGGTGCTGAAGGACCGGTCCTCGTTGCGCGAGCCCATGGTTCCGGCGCAGCAGCAGCGCGTGTGTAGCCTCGGCTCGCTGTCGGCAGCGCGCGCCGCAGCGGCACCGTCGCGGCAAGGCTGCGGCACTGTCAAACACCGCGCCAGATAGCCGCGGCCGCGCGCGCCGCGGCGCCGGTGCCGCCAGAGGTCTCGCCAGGGCTCCCTTGCGGCCCCTCCCGCTGTACGCCTCGAGATGCGTCGCAGGGCGACTTAGAGCCCCTCGCCGTCGGCGGCGGCGGGCGCGGCGGCGTCGGCGAGGGCGTCGAGGGACGACTTGCGGCGGACCATGTCCGTCGTGATGAGCGGGTCGGAGACGCGGACGACGCGGGAGCCGCCGGCCTCGTCGACGCCGGCCTGGAGCGAGGACGCGAGGTGGCGCTGGTACGTCTTGTTGACGCCGACCTGGGCCTCGGACGTGTCGAGGTGGTCGTGGAGCGCGTTGAGGCCGTCCTCGTAGGCGCGGTTGAACTCGTCGTCGTCGCCCGCGTCGAGGCGGAACGACGACTTGCGGCGGATGGCCTCCGCGTCGGCGACGAGGCCCGTCTCGGACTTGCGCCGGCCCTCGGCGACGGGCCGGTGGCCCGGCGGGAGCGGCGAGTCGAGCGGGTCCTCGTAGACCGCGTCGAGCGAGCACGGCGAGCTCCCGCGGCGGTCCCGCGGGCTGCTGGGCCGCCGCGGCCGGTGCGGCGCCGACTGCAGCCCCGGCGGCTCGAGGGGGGGCAGGCTCGCCCCGCCGCGCGCGACGAAGCCCGGCGGGTCGCGCCGGTCCGGCGCCTCGGGCGCGTCGCCGACGTCGCTCGACGCGGACGAGGCGCTCGTCGCCGCGGAGCCCCGGCGCACGGCGACCGCGTCGGGCGGCGCCTCGGGGCTCGCGGAGCCGCGCCGGAGCCAGTGGCTCGCGCGCGGCGCCGGGCCCCAGTCCGTCTTCGACGGCGCGGGCGACCCGTAGGAGTCGCGCGACGCCGAGTGGCCGCTGCTCCGCCGCTCGCCCGAAAAATCGTCGACGCTCGAGCTCGACGACGCGCGCTGCCGCGGCGCGCCGAACTCGTCGAGCTCGAAGGCGCCGTCGCTCTCCGTGGACCGGCTGTCGCGCCGCGGCCGCCTGCGTGGCATGGGTCTCGCGTCCCAACCGTCGCGTCCAAGTCACGTTGAAGTCGGGTTGAAGATTCGCACGCCGCGCGGGCGGCCGCCGGAACTCGGAGGTCGCCGCGGGCGACTCGACGTACGCGAGGAACCGCTTGAAGAGCTGGGGGTCGCCGAGCGCCACCATGACGGCGCGCTTCGCCGGGTGGAAGACGAGCGCGCTCACGGCGCCGCTGTCGAGCTGGAGCCGCGCGAGCTGCACCTCCTTGGCGCTCGCGACGCGGACCTGGGCAGGACAAGAGAGCGAAATTCCCAACTTCAAAGGCTCCTATCTCGGCCGTTTTCGACTCGTTTCGGCTGATTTTTGGACGAGCGATCATGTCTCGGAACGGTCTCGAAGCGTGGATGCTTTTTCCAGAACGGGCGCGCGCGGAACACTCACATTGAAGCGACGTTGAATCACCCTTGTCCTGCCCTGACGCGGACGGCGTAGGGCGCGGCGGGCGCCAGAAACCGGTCGAAGATGTCGCCGGCGCGCCGGAGCACCTGCGGGTGGCCGCAGCGCGCGCCCGTCGCCGGCGCGGCGGCCGTCTCGATGCTCACGAACTTGCGCACGAGGCTCTCGAACTTGTCGCAGCTCCGCAAAAAGTAGAGCAGCTCGACGCCTGGGCAGCAAAAGAGTGATTCAATGTCACTTCAATGTGAGCGTTCCGCGCGCGCGCGTTCCAAAAAAAAGCATCCACGCTTCGAGAGCGCTCCGAGAGATGATCGCTCGTCCAAAAATCAGCCGAAACAAGTGGAAAACGGCCGAGATCGGAGCCTTTAATTTCGCTCTCTTTTGCTGCCCTGGTCGACGCGGTACTCCGAGTGGAGGAAGGCCTCGAGGATCTCGCACTCGCGCCGGTCGTCGAGGATGCGCTCGAGCATGGCGGACGTCCGCGACCGGGCGAGGCGCGCCGCCTCGGCGTGGGTCAGGGGCGGACCGTCGGCGGCTTCGTCTTCGGGGCGCCCGGCGATCTTGCTCGGACGCTTCTCGCGCGGGTTCGCGGGGGCGGCCGGCGCCGCCGGCGCCTTCCGCCGAGCCGACGACGCGCCGTGGCCCATGCGTTGCTATCTCCCGAGCATGGGGCAGCGCGCGCAGTCAGTCGTGTAGCTCTCCAGGCAAACTCACCGAAGGATGAGGGATTCAACCTTCCATACTCAACAAACCTCATCGTGTCGATGATGCTGCCACAGCCGACTCGTGCCGCCGAGGTGGCCACTGCGTGTGGCATCGCGACCGCTGCAGCAGCGCGATGCTGCGCGCGTTGCTCGCCGTCGCTTGCGCCGATGCGCTCGTCGCGCCGCGCTCGCCCGCGCGCAGCGCCACCGCTCGCGGCGCCACGGCGGCGGAGCTGCGCGACCTCGTCGTCGACGCCGAGGGCCGCGGCCGCGGCCTCGACGGCGCCGCCGTCGCCAAAATCCGCGAGATCGTCGCGGACCTCGAAACCAAGAGCGGCCGCGCGCCGTCGCAGCGGGAGCTCGAGGGCCGCTGGCGCGTGCTCGCGACGATCTCGCCGCCGAGCGACAGCGGCGAGAACTTCGTGCCCTTCTTCTCGGTCAAGTCGTGGGTCGACTACGCGTTCAACGGCGGCCCGAGCCCCGTGCAGTCGCTCGTCGCCGGCTCGTCGACGACGGCCGCGCTGACCCAGAAGCTCACGCTGTCCGGCGACGAGCCGCGCTTCGACAACGTCGTCGACCTGCCCTTCGGGCGCCTCGTCATCCGCGCGACGGTCGAACCCGACGCGCCCGGCGCGCCGGCGTCGCGGCTCACGTTCCGCTTCCGCGACGGCGAGTTCCTCGTCGACGATGCGTTATTCGGCGGCGCGCTGGCGGTGCCCTACCCGGTGCCCTTCGACCTGCTCGGCGACCGGGCCGTCGGCTATCTCGAGACGACGGTGTTGGACGAGGCGTCGGGCGTCCGCGTCGCCCGGGGCAACAAGGGCACGACCTTTGTGTTCGAGCGGGCGAGCGACGACGCCGGCGACGCGGTCATGGCCCTGGCGCGCGCGTCGCGGCGCGACGCGGCCGAGGGCGCGGCGGAGTTCGACGACGCCGCGGAGGCGGCGCGGAACGCGCCGTGCCTCGGCAGCGGCAAAGCCGCGGTCGTGCTGTGCCCCGCGCAGTTCTCGGGGCCGCGCGACTACGGCGCGCTCGCGCGGGACCTCCGCGCGCGCGGCCACGCGGTCTACGCCTGCCGCCTGACGCCGCTGAAGTGGCTGACCATCGTCAAGTCCGTGCCGACGAAGGCCTATTTCGCCGGCGAGCTCGAGCCGTCGCCGAGCCTCGACTTCTACCTCGAGGAGATCTCCGCGGCTTTCGCGCGCGCCGAGGCCGCGACGCCCGGCGGCGACGTCGCGCTGCTGGCGCACAGCATCGGCGGCTGGGTCGCGCGCGCGTGGCTCGGCGGCGACGGCGGCGGCGACGACGCCGCGCGGGAGCGGTGCGGGGCGCTGGTCATGCTCGGCACGCCGAACCTGCCGCCGCCCGCGGGCACGCCCTGGGCGAAGCTCGACCAGACGCGGGGGCTCCTCACGAACGTCAACGCGCGCATGCCCGGCGCGCATCGGGCCGGCGTCCGCTACACGTCCGTGGCGTCGAATGCCGTCGAGGGCGGCCTCGGCGGCGCCGGCGCCAACTCCGCGTTGGACCGCGGCCTCGCCTTCACGGCCTACCTCCCCCTCTGCGGCGACGGGAACGCAAAGGGCGACGGCATCACGCCGGCGCCCTGCGCGCTCCTGCCGGGCACGGACCACGTCCTCCTCGACGACGCGCGCCACTTCGACTTCCTGCCGAACCCGCTCGGCCTCCGCGCGCCGCTCCTCGGCGCGCCGTGGTACGGCAGCGACGTCGACGCGTGGGTCGGGGCTTTGGAAGGGAAGTAACTTCAAGTAAGCGCGTGGAGCTCCACCTCCGAGCCGGCTCATTGACCCCGTCCTTACGTCTCCGCGTCGCCCGCCGCGAGCCGCGCGTCGTCCTCGGGCGAGAGGTCGGGCTTGAGGCCCTGGAGCTTCACGGCGGGCGTGTCGCCGTCGAACTCGAGCACGGAGACGGACGCCGTGGGCACGGCGATCTCCGCGACGGGCGTGCCCGGGATCGCGAGCGCGAGGAGCGACCGGGTGACGAAGAGGTGGCTCACGACGACGGCGCACTCGCCGTCGGCGATGGACGGCAGCACGTCGCCGCGGAGGCAGGCCGCGGCGCGCCGCTGGACGTCGTTCACCGACTCCGCGCCGCCCGCGGGCCGGAAGTCGTAGTCGCCGAGGAACCGGCGCATGTCCTCGCCGGGGAACGCGGCCGAGACCTCGGCGAGCGTCCTGCCGACCCAGGCGCCGCGCTTGACCTCCCGGAAGGCCTCGCGCTCCTCGACGGCCGCGACGCCGCACGCCTCCGCGCAGCGCCGCGCGCCGAAGACCGCGCGTTTCATCGGCGACGCGAAGACCGCCGTCGTCGCGGCGCCGTAGGCGTCGGCGACGTAGGCGGCGGCCGCGCGCGCCTCGGCCTCGCCGCGCGCCGACAGCGGCACGTCGACGTCGCCGCCGTAGAGGCCGTCGGGCTTGACGCCGCCGCCGGCGCGGTCCACGGCGCCGTGGCGCACGAGGATCACCGTCTTGCTCATGGCCCGAACGGAGCGCAGCACCAACAACGGGGCGAGGCGCGCGAGCATCATTTTTGGTGCTGCTGCTGCTGGCCGCGCCGGTGCACCAGTCTCCAATGAAGCTTGAGGCCTAGCTTGCTGCTGGTCGCGTTGGCGCTCGACGACGCGGTCCGCCGCGAGCGCTCAAGCAGGTTTTGTTTAGCCGCGGCGCAGGGAAGGACCGAAGGGGGAGAGAAGCAGGTTTTGTCACTCATTGATAGGGCCAGTTCGAGACACCGGGGGTCCGCGGCGCGACGCCATCGACGTCGTTTTTGCTCCGGAAAAGCACACCACCGTCGGAAGGGTCTCTATGAGGGACGCCTCGTTAGTTCAAACGTCCGAATCGGCGCCAATCTCGTCGCGGGACGACGTTTTACAGCCCGCACACACCAAAATACGCGCGTGATGGGCCACTGTCGCAGCGACTGGCGTCCCATTCGCTCCAGTCTTCGCGGATTTCGGCGCCAGGGGGCTCGAGGGGAGCCGTGGGCGTCCCCGAGTGGTCGCCGTCGCCCTCGTCGTGGCTGTTGAGCTCCGTGAGGCGCTGCACGCGGTTCGTCGGGCACGTAGACGATGGTCTGCGGGCGTTTCCGGAGGATTTCTGGCCGCATGGGTCCCTCTCGCTGCGGCTGCCGGTCTGCAGCGGTCCGTAGACGTCCTCCGAGGGACTGGGGGCCGTCGGGCATGTTCTGCCGGCCTGTAGCGGCTCCCGAACCTCCGAAACACGACCAAACGGTACCACTCGGAGTGCGCGGACGAGCGCTTGCAGCACGAAATCGGCGTCCATGCCGCCGAGACTCGTCTCCAGCGACTCCGTCTGCGTGCGTGTAGCGGCCGCCGTCGCCCCGGGCATCGTTCTCGCCCTTGTCGGCCGCGGTGCGCCTCGCAGGCGTCGAAAAAGTCGACCTCGAACCCCAGCAGGTCGACGCTCCACAGCACCTGGTCGAGGCTCTTTGCGCGGCCGGCCGCTGCGTGTGCGCGCTCCATCGGTCTGCGCGACTCAGCACGGCGTGCCCGAGCGTCGAGGGCTCGGAAAGAGGGCGCCTCGGCACGATTCGCGGGCTGCCCATCAATCGGCGGCACCTAAACTTCAAGTAACGCTTCAATGTCACATGTTGCATTCCTCAACAAAATCGGCGCCGCCGATGACCGCTGCTGCCCGCGCCCCTGCTCACGTCGTTGCCAAGCGTGACAGGTAGATAAACGCGCCGGCGGCGGGTGCACACGCAGCGGCTGCTCGTCCTCAGCTTCGTCGTGAGCTCCTTGGGGCTGCTGGAATATCAGCGTTTGATCACTATTTGTCGCATTCCCTGGCTCAAAATGACGCATGGAGCGCCTCTAGCCGCCGCGCCGCCGCAGCGGTAGAGTCATCGCACCTCGGGACGACAGATCGGCACTTGTTGGGCGTCGCCCCGCGCCCCACGGACTCGGAGGCGCAGAGCATTGGCGCGAGCGCACGGCGCAGGGCTGGCCGTGACCGCCTGCACCGCGGTGGCGTTGCTCGTCGCTGC